TCCTGCTGATGCATCTCAAGGTTCTGCCTCCTCCCCAAAGGTTTCCAACAACTGTGATTCCATCTTCGTGAATGGGAAGGAAATGAAGAGCAAAGTGGACACGATCGTGAACTTCACCCACCAACACTTCACCTCCCAGTTAGAGGTCACCGTCTGGGCGCCCAGGCTCCCTCTGCAGATTGAGATCTCGGACACGGAGCTGAGCCAGATCAAAGGCTGGAGGATCCCAGTGGCCACCAACAGAAGGTGAGGGCACAGAGAGAACTGCATTTGATGCTCCTGGGGCCCAAAACTTGGTGGGATGACCAATTGACCTTCAAGGGTGCTAGCCTCGAGGAAGCCACACCCACACTGGCTAACAGCATCTGGGCTTGGGGTTCAGAGGGATCTGACTTGGGAACATTTAAAAAAATTATTTATTATTATCATTAGTTTTAATATTAAATTTAATCACATATATCTTTACAGTATATTACATTACGTTTCTCTGCACGGTTACCATGCGTATCAGTCAAGACAAAGACGTTACTATCCACATCATCATCATCAAATAGCTTTTCATCAGTGTTTTCAGATTATTATTATTATTATTTATTCTCATGATTTTTTTAAACATTCAATCACTATATATCATTTGGCTTGTAAAGAGCATTTACCCAACATGAAATACTTCTCAGTATTCCAGCTGAGAATACTATGCATGTTATTATCCACAGGTAATAAACCATTTCTGTGCCCACTAATGTCATGCCTCTCTATTCTTTTGCTCTCCTTCTCTAGCTGCTTCCCTTCCCTCCCCCCGTTCCACACTGTCTTCAGCATCCATAACTATTTTCACTGTTTTTATGCCCTCCAATATTTTGATCTCTGTGACTTGGGTACATTTTGACATGAGGAAATTATAGTGAAGATAATAATGGTAATAAGAACAGTAACTACCTCATTACGTAGTTGCTAGGATTCAGTAAAGTAAGTAATACTTGAGATATGCCTCCTGTGAGATCTGGCATTCAGGATACTGTATATTCTATCCCGTTCCACCATCGTCATTCTCAGTTCCTGCTCGTAAATGCCAGTCATCAGCCGTGAAGCATCATACATGGTTTAAGATTGTGGATGCCGGAATAAGGCTGTCTGAATTCTGCGTGTAACAATGCCAATTTCCTGCTTCCAATGTTGTCCTGTTGTTACAAAGATGCTAACTTTGGGGAGCTGGGTTAAAAATGTTTTTGATTCCCTATCTTTTTTATTTTTTTTTAAATTTAAAAGAATTTGCAATTATTTCTTCTTCTTTTTTTTTTTTTTTGAGGTTTTTGCTA